GGGAAAGCTTATGGATCACATATTTATTTATTCATTCCATTTTTAAGGATTAAAAAACAGAGTAATCAGGAGGTATATATAAATCAGTATTTTAGTTTGGATTGGAACTGTTCTTTCAAAGTGAATTTGGCTATATTTTAGTTTGTGTTTTTGGAGTGGTCTTGGGCTATGTGGATTGGATTCTTCTAGAATGAACTGGAAGATGCATGCCAGGACAGACCAAATATACTCTGGTCATGCATTTCATCTGTGTGTCCAAACTAGAGCTTGACAAAAGAACAAAACCCAACGTGCTGAAATATATGTAGTATGGGTGTTAGATTCTCACGTTAGCTTTACGGGTTGACTCTTACTGATCTGTACTGCTTGCTAATGTAGTATTTCTAGTAAAGAATATATTACCTTATGGCAATAAAGGTATGAAAAAGATGCAGAGCTTACACAGAAGGTATAGTACGAAACTCAGAAGATTGTGGACTGAGAAGGAGGACTCAGGTTTTATGACAGGATCACACACAGAGGATGAGCTTGGTCTGAAAATACTTCACTGTCCTCAGTACACTTGAAAAACGCAGAGAGTAAACTGACCGCTTTAAAGGATGTGTTACCACCTTGCAGAGCAACAGAGAATACTCAAGCATTCAAGAGAGTGAAATGTTATGTCAGGTTTATTATTTTTGTCCGGCTTGAAGTAATGGTTACACTAACAAAAGCATGACTGTGTTCAAACCCTTTGTGTGTTTAGGTTTTGTTTGTATCTGCTGCATGTTCCTTAAGAATTAAACTAGGCCAAAAGGTGGATACCTTCAGGAATGAATGACAGGGATGTGTTTGAAAGAGTCATGGGAGGACTTTGAAGGGTCCACACTAGCTCCAGGCTGCTGCGGAGCTACAGGAGAGTTGCTTTTTCTTCAAAGTCGGTGGCTGTACTTAGACTGTTCTGGTTCTGGGACTTAAAATTCTGCAGAGACCCAAGTGAGACCTCTGATGAGTGTCCAAGAGAGCGAGCTAAACTACACATGTGACTTTTATGTCAGTTTTTAAAATGTCAGTCACGGAGTTTGAACTAATACCTTTTGGGTATGAAATTTTGCGTTGTTTTAGGTATTGAGCTGTCCAGTCTTGTTGAGCCAAGCTGACCACATGTACCCATGCAGTTCTTGAAAATCTCATAACAGTAACTGGTGCAGATTTGGACAAGCCATCCTGACTTAGGCTACGGTTGTCTTATTTTCTCCTTTTTGTTTGTTATTGTGTGTTGGAGCTAATTTCTGTGGACCAGATTGAATTTCTCTCAAGAGCACTGTGTTAATCTTTTATCTGACCATGACTGTGTTTACTACGGATTTAAATACAGAGTTCTCTCTTCATTCTGTCTGAGTTCTCTCTTCATTCTGTCTGAGTTCTCTCTTCATTCTGTCTGTTTCTTTTCCAGTTATTGGGGAGAAAAGAGCCATGGCAACAATTTCCTTTAGTTTTTAAGAGACAAGGAATGTCTGTAATGAACTTGGCAGAATGTAATCTTGTTTTATTGTTATTTCCAGTTACAAATTTCTGTCCTTTTGACAAACTGTAATAGTGTACTTTAACCAATTTGTAGCTAAGCTTGAAGAAACTGGGGAAAAATCAAAACCTAGGCTAACACTGTTGTGCAGAGCTGTCCACCAGTGTTGGCCACCAGATATATGCCCTATACCAGTCATGAAGGAGTTGAAAAGGAGGTGTGGGCTTTATTTGACTGTAATGTGCTTACACCCGACTCTTGGACTAGTTATAGGGCTGCTAGGTGGAAAAAAAAATAATCTTTGATCGAAACCTAAAATGCAGAGTCTTCTGTGTAGAAATTGAAGGGGGGTGGTGGTTTAAGGAGAGGTCACTGCTTTAGTGACTGAGGTAGGGACATGATGCTTTGGAGACAGGAAAATTGGAAACATCTGGGGATCCAGCCCCTTTAAGGGAGAAGCTTCAAGAGAGCAAGTGTTTTTTTTCTGAGAAACAGAAGGATCTTGAGAGAAAAAGCATCTAGAGGTTCCAGAAGAAAGAGACTACCTCTTCTCAACTCTTCGTAAAAGTGAAACAGAAGTGGCAATCCTGCATGCAAAGGTTAAAAAACGTAAGTATTAGCCTGTTCTGTGTTTTGGAAACCCCGCAACACCTATAAAGATGTTAAGGAGTGGTTGTGAGCTTGATTAACTAGGTCTTGCTAGACTTGATCAAGTCACAGCCTTGCAGGGGACAATGCCCTGAGGATGTGAAAGATAAAGGGACAATAAGTGAGGCTGGAGCTGTAGTTCTTGGCCCCTTTGTCAGGAAGGATTTGTACTGTTGGTTTGGCTGAAAGTCAGCTACCAATCAGTTTTATAACTCAGATTTCAGTAGCGGAGAAGATTCACAGCTGAGAATACCTATACTCCAAAACAATTAGGTATTTTTATTTTATTGTAGTGGTAGCTGTGCTTTTGTCAAATTTTGTCAATGTAAAAATTCTGTTACTGTGAAGAAGATAACAAATTCTCTAGAAACTTGGTAAAGCGTCATATTGATAGTGTATGTTGATTGAAAGATGGAAACTAGGATGTGGAAAAGCCCTATCCTACAATCTCATAATGGGGAGGAGGGAGAGTATTCTGCCCTACCAGTGGCTTATATTTTGTTTAAAGCTCTCAGGAGACTTGGAGTTACATCCTCTTGCAAAACAGGAACAGTTCTGTCAACTCATTTGTAAAATATACATCTGTGCTTCAGGTACTTTTTTTTTCTTCTCTATGAGTAGGCAGTATCTAAATGATGTTTTACGTGATCAAGGAGGTATGATGAGTGTTTGAGACCATGACAGATAGCACTTACTGAGGCAGCGTGTTGGAACTACAGTGTTTTAGTCTCTTACAAGATCATTTACCCTTGCAGAATTGAGATAATGCTGTTTATCGCTATGCATCTGTTTTATTGTTCTAGTAAGATCTAGACTATGGTGTGTGTGATGTGAGTGGAATGACAATTCCAGAAGCTTCATTTCAGGAAGGAAATGTCTGTGAGGAAAAGGAAGGGGAGAAGTGAGGGGAAAAAAGAAACAGAGTGAACTGAATGTGATTGAATGGGGTGATGCAGCAGTGAAAATCCATGCTTGTTCATGTGTTAGGGTAGAAAGGGGGATATTCCCATGAAAGGCCCCTTCTGCTTTCTTACATGGCACTAGGAACTTGTGTCTTTCCTGTGTTGTTCTCTCTGGGTCCTTTGCTCAGTGCACAGGTGTAGAAATCTGAAGGTGAAGTTGTGTAGCTCCAGAGGGTAGTTGCTCCTCTCTGATTGAGCTCCGTGCCAGGGGTCTGTCTGTCAGATAACTCAGTGCAAGCCAAGAGAGGCTCAGTGCCTTGATTTGCATCAGAGCTCATCCACCCATCTGTAACATTTCTGTGCTTTTGCACAGAGGGGAGGTTCCAATAAGCTGTGGTGACAAACCTAACATCACAGTGCTTACGTAGGTCTTCCTTTCTGTAGCCTGTTGATTGGGACACAGTCAATGATTAGGTTGCAAATTACACTACTTCATATTGATAGTGTTCATTCTTTTTAAATTACAATAATTTCTGCAAAAGGATTTAACTTGATTTAAATTTTATTGCAAAAACTTTACC